TAATTATGCGAGTTTTTGATGTACAATATTTGGTATTCAGCCCAGTAATAAAAGATAATTTGTTAAACACTTGTTCTGCAACTTAGACAAATAGGTAAACATGTCTCTCTACAGAAAAGGGAAACAAAGGAGGAGGAGGCTGGAGCAAACACAGTTAGAGGTGCATTATTGAATGATGGGTTGTAAGAAAATTAAAGCACGATATACTTGAACTGATCAGATTGGAGGGCTTCATTCCAGTTCCTGTTTTTATATTGCAAGATAGACTGCTGTAGAATGAATGACAATTGTGTTGCATGATCTAGCCGTGTCAAGGTTCAACTATTAAACCTTTACTACTGTGAATTTCATGAATCCAACGATATTTGATAATCTTGTCACACAAGTCCCAATGAGTTTTCCTTTAGGCATCAGATGAACCTGAAGAAGACAGGGGGAATTCTGAGTTTTCTTTAAGGATGTCGGACTAACAAACATGTTGTGTCACTTCACATTTACTGTATCAAATTGTGGCTAATTGACAACAAATTCCAGGGCTGCTTTTGTTGTTGTTCTTCTTCTTTTGTTTTTCCAAAATTGGAGTCCTGTCTATCTCTGCATGTGTCTATGTGTGTATACACGCACACTCAGATTCATAAGGAGAGAACTAAGCCAACACGCTTTCATTTACTGCGGCTGGTAATTGCTGCTGTCATTCAGTCTGTCTTATTAAAACGACAAGAAACTGTGCCTTGAGTTTAACACATACACTCGTGCAGACTGCACACAGAGCTTTGGTTGACTTGTTTTTACAAGACATAACATAGCTGGTATTTTTTCATCGTGTGTGTGTGTGTGTGTGTGTGTGTGTGTGTGTGTGTGTGTGTGTGTGTGTGTGTGTGTGTGTGTGTGTGTGTGTGTGTGTTTTGGAAAATTGTCATCTAGGAGATGCCTGCAGCATGCCAACACAAAGGAGGCTTTGAGTACTGTGGACAGATTTGTCTATATAATAGAGTCACAACAGCACAGATAGATACAGTCATGAACATCCAGAGGTGTGTAAGGTGAAATCAAAATGATAGGTGGGCGTGGTCCAAGTAATGCCAGGTCCTGTAATTGTTTAATTGTCATTTAGTTATCTCTACATAGTAATCATGGGTTGAAAGCAACAGGTTTACAGGTATCAGTGATGTGATCTTGATGTGTTCGTCTTCGTGAAATTAGTTGTTCTTTTTTTCTAGCTATATGTTCCTCTCAGCAGGTATCTATATCTCAAGAGCTGTCCACTTCCAATTTCAGCCCCACGAGCCTGCTCAGTGTTTGTTGTCGTGCTTAATCCCCATTATTTTTATTATCAGTAGTCCATGCTACAGTGTTGTTTGGCCTGTTTATGCTGTTGGCAAACTGTTCTTAATCATACTGAGAAAAGTAAAAACAAATAAAAAATAAAAATAGGAGTGGTGGATGTTTATATGCCTAAAATGGGTCATTTCAGCCTGTTGCTAGGTAGTTGCTAGGCATGTGAAATTCAACTTTAATGGATATAAATGAGGTATTATTGTTGTGAAATTAAAATGGCAGGATGACTTCGTGAGGTGGTAGAGGTGCATAAAGGCTAAAACCAAGTCATTTTATCCTGTTGCCAGGCAATGTGATAGCGCCATAATACATCATGTGTAATACTAATTTTGTGAATATAAATGAGATGCTGTTGGGATAGGATGTTTTTATAAGGTGCTACAGGTGCCTAAATGCTAAATATTGTCATTTTAGTCCATTGCTATTTGGTTGCAAGGCAACATGGTGACATCATATTATCTCATTTAGTGGAGGATTTTCAAGGGTCTAAGTTGTACCAAAGCCATTGAATGGAAGAGTTGCGTCTTTTTCACAGCAATGGCCGCTCATGGAGCCTCACAATAGATCCCAAAGGAAGCGTCATAAACTAAGTGCGCCATAGAGATATAGCAGCACAGTCTGAGATTCAATTTTAAAATATAGGAAGTTATAAAACAAGTCTGTATGTTCTCAGCACACATTTCAACTGCCCTTTAAGCAGTTGGAGGAACTATTTGAAGGCTACATGACCCACATTATGACCCCAAATTGGGAACCCCCACTGATAGGACTCCGACTTATTCAAGGACTCTGAATTGTACATGTGTGCTCAGCTCCTGGTGGTTTAGAAGGAGTTGGAGGACAAAGACACAAACAAACACGCAGATGGAGATAGTAAGATTACTGCTATTAAACCAATAAGTATATTTGTTATTATGGTCGTCATCATCAGTATGGCAACCAGTTTGACACCTTTTGAATTGAAAGCTGTTCCAGGTGTCTCCCAGATCCTAATATATTCTCTCTTTGCTATTCTTTTCCATCCAGCCATTCAAGGCAGAAAGCTGCTTATCCTGGATCTGGTTGTCTTGGAGGTTTCCTTTCAGTACAAAGAGAGCTTTACTCCTCAAGGATGAACTGCCGGCTTTCTCTCTTGGTACTGTAAGGTGTTGACCTCTGTTTGTAAAGTGCATTGAGATGAAAAACTGCATGTCATGATTTGAAGAAAAACTAAAGTGAACAAGCTGCAGAAATAAGGAATTGTTTTTCAATGACATCTGTGGCTCATACCAAAGGTCTTCATGTTGTAACAACGAACACTAATAATGAGAAAGGTTTAGACCAGAACAGCTGAATGAATAGCTTTTTTCAAATGCCACAAGTACAGTATTATAGACAAGCATGTGATGTAGAATATGTAGATGCACATGAAATATTCATGTGCAAATATTCCCTTCTTGCACTCTAACACCCCACCTTCCCTCCCCACTTCACACACATATCCGCACAGACAGGATGGCCTGCGGACAGATTGACTGTGATCAGGACTTTGACCTCCGTGATAACCGCAGCTCATTTCCATTTGCTGTCCTTGTTGCCTCACACACCTCGCGCAGATAGAGAGACAGACTGTGTATTCACCGGACTGAAACTCCCACATTCCCACAAAGAAGATATGCCAGCCTCACTGGCAATTCAGTTCACTACTTCTTCGCACGTCACATTCAGATAAAGTTCTCAAAGGATAATAAAAATTCTCCTAATCTCTTCGCTGTGTCCTCCTCTGTCCCACAATGCCTTGGGGCTGGCTAAGGCTCCAGATTGACATGTCTCCATCTTAAGTCTCAATCATCAGCAAGGCTTTAAGTTGGAAATGACTTTCTGATCTCATGGACTCCTTTTTAGATTTTCTGAGCAGAACAGAGGGTTACACTTACTCTACCAACTTAATCTAGCAAATAACAAAATACTTTAAAAAAAAAAGTCTTGATTTGATTTGACCTGGAAGAGTTTGGGAGTAAAGTGAACCTCAAAAGCTGGAGTCACTTCTGCTGTAAGTGGTTTGGCCAGTGTGGGACTATTTATGTTTGTTAAAAAAGTAGTATGACTCAAAGTCAACCTTTAATCACTCACGTAATTCCCTTCACACTTTGGCTTTAAAATGCTTTCTGTGTTAGTAAATGTCACTACATTCAATGTACGCTGTCTAATTTTTATGTCTTTAGAAAGTGATTATTAGAGAGTGACACATCAGAGCACTGAACAAAAACAACAAAAAACTCATACAGAGATAATGGAATAAGTTGGGCAAGAGTTGACACATGGATAAAAAGATTACTGTGTGCATTATAATCTCCCAAATCTCCACACATGGCAGGCAGCAGGCAGGAGATGTTACTGCTGGTGCTTGGGAGAGGAGGGAGCAGGCAGCTTGCTGCCAACATAAATCAGTGTCATGGCCTTGAGCCACACCTTACTGGAGGAATGCCACTGAAGCACTTCCCTTGCTTTCTAGTGTCTTAATGCATACTCAGTGAGCAAAAAGGACTCTCTAATATTGATAGAGACATTTAATTTGAAAGTAATTTCGAACTGAAATGCCTGATTTATCAGTGAACCGAGTGTGACTTTTAATCACTGCATTCACCCACCTGTCTCATGGCTACGCCAGTCACAGTATGAGAGTATTTTTCTTAAACTGTGAGGCAAAATAT